ATTGCTAATGATTTTTAAAACATTTTATTTTTCTGGAGCATTGGTTCCTTTAGACTCTTAACTAGTAGTTGATGGTTTTTATGGTGATTGAGGTACTTGATAACTTTCTATTGGTAATTGCCTGTGTGGATTTGCAGACTGTTTTTTGAAAGCTCTCTTCTGGCCACCACCATGGCCTAGTAGGTAAAGGAACCAGATTCTGCAGAGTTGAGCATTTTGAAATCCTAGTCTGTTGGCTTGAAAAACACACCAGGCACATATACATGCATGCATGAAACCCCACCGGGTTGGAAGAATGGAGGAAAAGGGCTTTATGAGATGTTTTCTCTGTCTTTTCTCCTGCCTCTTTTTTTTAAGGGAGATCTTTGCTATAGGACTTGTGTACTTATGGGAGAGAGAGAGAGAGAGAGAGAGAGAAAGACAGAAAGTGAGAATTCATCCCCCAGTTGGATGGCCACACCACAATCCATTCTCCTTTCTGGATCTTGGGCATGCATGCACTTGTGCCTGGCATGAGTTTTAGGCTGCCAGATCCAGGACTTGAACCATAGTCAACTACATGAGAGTCCAGCATTATAACCATTACATGCCATTTGCTGGTCCCTTCTCTCTCTTTCTCTTTTCCTCTTCTCTTTCTCTTTCTCTCTCTTGTCTCTCTTGCGCACAGGTGCACACACACACCTTTTGGCAATTCAAAAAAAAAAAAAAAGTCCTCTCATTTTTCTTTTAGAAACTTCTAGGAATTTTAATGGCTTCTGAGAAATACTGAAGCCTATATAGTTGTTGGCAATTACATGCTTTATGTTGCTTTAGGAGTATATATTATTGTACGGTGGGTAAAACCTGTGATCAGAGGAGCCTAGTAAGGAAATGACAGCCTAGTAAGGAAACGACAGCCATTGTGTGGGTGAGAGGGGGAGGCCGATGTCTATGAGACCCAAGTAGAATTCATATAAGCACCTAAAAGATCAGTGATTGTACTTTTGTTTTCATTCCTTTTTTAAAAAAAATACACTTTAGCACTGTCTCCTGAGTTTCACAGAACAAGAGTGGCTTTTTTAAAAATGTATTGTTTTTACTACGGATTGAATTTATATTTCAGAGGACAAGATAATACAAAATGAATAAGATGAAATTACAATGCTAATAACAAATTTTTTGTGCTTTTTTTCCTCCTGTCGAAAGTGTTATAAAACAGCCCTCACCTTTGCAGATATTGCTTTAAGACTATATTTTAGTCAAATTATCCCTTCATTTTCTTTTAACACTTTTACTTTTAAGCTGCCAAATAATTTGGAGTACCCTAGTATCATTGCATATCATAAAATTTTTATAAAAATACATTTGTATGGTGTGATAGGCATTTTTTAAAGGTGGGCTTTTCATTTGTACCTAAAAAGTATCTAAAAATCCCATATTTGTAACAAGTACCTTATCTTGGTTTATAATAAAGTCATACATTGTATCACCCTAAATGGCAAAGAACAGCTAATGCTGATGAGCCTAGATGAAACTTGTGGACTTTCACAAGAGTTAATTGGTTTATGTAAATAGTTGATCTAATTTCTTTGGCCTTTACCTATTCCCAGCTCTTCTTTAAGATTTAATGGGATAAATACTGGCTCTATACACATTGGCTTTGCTACTACGAAGTGGTATAGCTTGTAGTATTTGCATTAGTTGACGTAATATTTGCAATAACAATATGTCTCACTTTGTTTTTAATATTAGATCATTATTTTTAAATATTAGGGTTCAAAACAATAATATTGTCTTATGTACCAAGTTATTTATAAGTTAGTATTAAAAATAAGTCTAAGTCCAGCCCATGGTGTGGTCAATAAGATGAATGGAACCCACATAGCTGACCATGTGATTTGAGTCCTGGACTCAGTGACTTGAGAAACACACTAAGCGCGCGTGTGTGTGTGTGTGTGTGTGTGTGTGTGTGTGTGTGTGAATACCCGAAATCCCTAGAGGCGGGAGAAATGGAGAAGAGATTGCAGCATGACCATTTCCCATGTTTGTTTGTTTGTTTGTTTCCACTTTCTCTTTCTCTTTCTTTCTGTCTCTGTCTCTCTTTGTCAAGCATACATGACCTCTGGCAAAGTTTTTAAAAATAACAGTAAAAATAAGTCTGAAGATTAGTCATCTCTTCTTGTATATTCAGATAATAACTGTCATAGGGTTGATAGTGTGTTCACTTTTGTGAACTTTGAAAATGTTTATAGTTATAGTTTATTTATTTTTTAAAGAATTACTTATTTCATTTTATTTATTATTATTATTATTTTTTAATTTGACCAGAGAAGGGCACAGAGAGAGAGAGGGAAAGTGAGAAGGCAGATCTCCAGATCCAGGACTTGAACCACAGTGGGCCATTTGAGAGTCCAGCACTTTAACCACCAAGCTGCCTGCTGGCTCCAATAGTTATATTTTAAACAGTATTCCATATTTAGAAATAGAACCTTGGGAACCAGCAGTTAGCGTAATGGCTATGTCACTGAACTCCCACATAGTCGACCGTGGTTCACATCACCGACCCGGTGGCTTAAAACTCACGCCGGATGCATGTGCATGAGTGCCCAAGATCCCGAGAGGAGAATGGAGGAGAAGGGACTGTGGCGTGACCATCCCCCCCTCGGGGGTGGTTTCTCGCTTTCTGTCTCTCTGTCTCTCTGTCTCTCTCTGTCTGGCGAGCACACGTGCCCTATAGTGAAAAAACCTCTCCAAAAAAAAAAAAAAAGAAATAGAACTAGAACCTTTTTTGGCACAGTAGGTGGTTTTAAAAAGAGAAAGAATGAACTAGGGTAGCTCATAGCCTAGGGATCAAGGGGCTCTCATCCCACATGGCCCCACAGTTTCCACTGAAAATAAAAGGGTACGCTGGGGGCATGTGCTGTCCTTCCCTGATTGAATGACCTTGGCGCCTTGTCTGAAACCAGCTGACCATCTATTTGGGTTTTTTTCTGGATTCTGTTCTGCTCTGTTCAGATATATATGTTTGTGTCTCCTTACAAAAATACCACTGTCTTGATTATTGTAGTTTTATGCTGAATTTAAAAATCAGGTAAACCCTCAACTATTTTGTTTTTCTTTTTTACTTAAATTGTTTTGGCTAGTCTACCAAATGACCTCAAAACATTTGTGGAAAAAGTCGAATTAAAGTATGAGTTTATGTTGAGACCAACCAGGTGGTGTGGTGGTTAAAGTGGCTGAATCCTTTGCAGCTTACTGCTCAGTTCAGTCCTGGACTGATGGCTCAAAAAACACGATAGGCTCATGTGTGCATGCCTGGAAAGGAGAGGGGAGAAGGGATTGTGGTGTGGCCATCCCCTTACGGGGTGATTTCTTACACTCTCTTTCTGTCTCTGTCTCTGTCAAATACACATGCCCTACAGCAAACTAAAATATTTTTTAGAAGTTTGAGTTTATGTCAATGCAAAAAGAAATTAAATCCATGCACAGGCTTTTCATAATATGCATTGTCCATGGTTTTGTTTTGTTTTGTTTTGTTTTTTGAGGATGCATCATGTAGCCTTTGCATTTCCATATAATTTAGGCTCATCTTAATTTCTTAAAAACAAAAAAATGCTCTAGGATTCTGATAGAGCATCCAATTTAGAGAACACTAAAGTTCAACAATATTGAGCTTTTCCAATTCCCAACTTGACATATTTATGATATATCTAGTGCTTTAATTTTTCTCAGCAGCATTTTTGTGTTTTTTCAGTGTACTGACTTTGAACTTCTGTTTATAATTTTATCCCTAAATATTTTAATCTTTTTTTGATGAAATCATGAAAGGTTTTAAAAATTTTATTTTCCAATTGTAGCTAACATGTGGAAATACAGGGGGTTTTTTTGTATCCTTATTCTGTGACTATGTTAAACATTTTTTAGTAGTTTGGTGAGTTTTGTTTTGATTTTGTTTGTTTTTTTGTTTTTGTTTTTTTTTTTTTTTGGTTTTGTCTTGTTTTGTTTTGTTGTATGCTAGAGGACTTGTACATACATGCATAAGGGGTAGGTTGGCCTGGTTACAACATAGTCCTTTTTTCTTCACTTCTCCATACCATCAGGATCCTGGGCATGCAACATGAAGTCAGTGGGACTGGGGCTTGAACTCCAGTTAGCCATATGGGGTCCGGCATCCTCTTCATAGCCCCAAACTGCTGTGCTATGGGGTTGGTTCTCTGGTGGTTTTGCTGTTTCTTAGGATTTTCTACTCATAAGATCAAATGTCAGGAAATGGTATCTCTGAAAGTCCATATTACCCTTAATCAAGTGATCTTGCCATAGCTTAAAACATTTTTTGGAAATCCTTTTTCAGAATGTGTTCATCAAATTACCCAGCACATAAGAAAATCCATTTTTATTATTTGTTAATAGATATCTTGCTTTACATCATTATGTGGCTTTTTATCTTAATATACTGAGATCCGTACTGACAAAACATTGTTTTTTTACATACTTTTTAGTCTTTAAGGGATAAAAGTTAGGCAGACTGTTAGATATGTGCATCTGAAGTTCAAAGAAAGGGTTCTGTATGGAAGTTTAAATTTGTGAGTTGTCGTATCTCACACTGGTAAAGCCAATCCATGAGACTGGAAATGATCAACTAAAGGGATTGACCAAAAGGAGGCATTTTAAGAGGATTACTGATGGACCACCACTTCATACACAAGACACTGACCTGCATAAAGTGCTTTTTTTTTTAATTCCTCATTATTATTTTAAAGAGTATACATACATGTCTTAGGAAATTGAATCATCATAAGGTCAGCGATGCCCTTGCTATTTTTGTTTTTGAATAATTTGAACAGTTATTACTTGGCTTTTTTTTTTCCTCCAGAGTAATATGATTGTTAAATACTCTAGTTATTATTTTATACTAATTTAATACTCAGTTTGGTATATTATTCTGATAACATTATCTGTATTGGAAATATTATTTGACTTCATGAGAATCACCTAAATATCTGCTTTTCTTTTGTTCCTAGGCAAATACTGTGGTCTGGGGTTACAAATGAACCATTCAATTGAATCAAAAAGCAATGAAATTACAGTGCTGTTCATGAGTGGAATCCATATTTCTGGAAGAGGATTTTTGGCCTCATATTCAGTTATAGATAAACAAGGTAATGTTTGCCTTTACAGGGGCTCCTATATTTTGTAATTTCTAACAACAAAAATGAAATATTTGTTCTAGTACTTACTATCTGAGATGGAATAAAGCAGAAAGACATATGTAAATCTGGCAAAAAAATTAAGTCTATTTCAGAATTTTAAAAATGAAAAGTACATTACCTTTTGGGACTCACAGGTGACATAGTGGTTAAGGCCTTGGATTCCTACATGGCCAACCACAGTTCGAATCCCAGACCCAGCAGCTAATCATGCTGGGCATGTGTGCATGTGTGCCCAAAATCCCAATAGAAGAGATTGTGGTGTACCCATTCCCCTTAGGGAATGACTTTTCACTTTCCCTCTAACTGTTTCTCTCTGGTGAGCACACATGCCCTATGGCAAAAACTTGTCCTGTCCATCAAGTATTTGTTTTATTGGAGCTAGTCAGTTAGCTAAACTATATTCAAGAGATTATTGACTGACTTTCTGACTAATTGTTCTGGGATGGTCTTTCAACTACAGTGTCTTATAGTGACTCATTTATTTTAAGGCTAGTTGGCTTTGGTTAAAATCCTCAGGCTGTTTCTATGCAGGAAATTTAGTTGCAACAATGAATTTTGTGAATATTTTCAAGGAACATCACTACATGTCCCCAGTTTAGCAATCCATGGGAGATTTAGAGTATTGAGGAATGAAAAGATTATGAAAAATCTTGTTTCAACAGTTACTTCATCCATTACATGCTCACCCAGACTCGTTAATATTATAGTATGTACTGATAGCCTTGATTTAGTGTGAGATAGACTTCTTTTCATTATTTTGTACAAGAGCGCATTCGAAGTTATGTTCTCTTTGATGTCTATTTCTTGCTCTATGCCTGGCACTGAGGAAACAGCAGTATAAGACAGAGACAATCATATCTCTATGAACCTTACTGTACAGGATTAAAAAAAGATATAAAACCAATTGTTCATTACTTAATTGCAGTTATAAGTACGATGAAGAAATTGTGCAACCGATAGGAGGCCAGAGGAGCACAAGGAGTGGAAGGCTGATAAAGAGCAGAGCTTTCTTGAAGGAAGTCACTTTATTTTCTTTAATTTTTAAGTAAAAATGTTAAGTTTTTTTGCCATAGGACACTTGTGTTTGCTGGAGAGGAGAGACAGAGAGGGAAAGTGAGAAATCACCCTCTGGGGGAATGGCCACACCACATTCCCTTCTCCTCTCAGGACTCTGGGCACACATACACAGGTGCTCAGCATGATTTTCAAGCTGCTGGGTTCAGGGCTTAAACCAAAGTCTGCCAATGGAAGTTCACTGCATCTGCCAGTGGAAGTCCACTGCCTTAACCACCATACCACCTGCTGTCCTGACTTTAAAACTGAGAACTGAAGGGTTAATCGAAGGTCTCAGACAGACAAGGAAAGGAAGGTCTTCTAGGGAAGAGAACAGCAGGTACGAAGATCTCTCTGTGAGGAAAAGCCAGGAGGGAAATGGAGAAAAAGCCAGTTACTGGCCTAAGTCGGAGGTAAGTAGGTCTCATTATTCTGAGCTTTCTAGAAAATGTAAGGGTTGGCGCTTTCTCCTAAGAATGCATGGAAGCTGTTAGAGCAGAGGTATTTTTTGTTTGGCTGATCTCCCTGATCTGTGAAGAGTGGGTCAAAGAGAAACAAGAATAATTATAAAGGGAAGCCAGTTAAGAGGCAGTTAGAAACCAGATCAGAGATGATTGAAATAGGTCTCCTTATGACTATAACTCTAAAATCATGGTAGGTTTTAAAGCCTTTAAAGCCACATGTTTTCTACAGAGAAACATTTCAGAGAAGGAGGATTCATCCTGCTGGGGTTTAAGTAGTAAGAGGCTCCGAACATACGGACGTCATCTCGGATGAAGCGCTGACTTGTAATGCTCATGTTGACTCTAAGGAACTGTCCTTGGTGTCCTTTTCCACTTTTGTTGCTAGTTTTTATAAGAGATTTTATAAAAGTGTGTTTTCCCCCTGTTGTTTTTAATGGTCTTTGTGCAGTAGATCCCAGCCATTTCCATTACCACTTATCTCTTACCATTTTCACCTGTAAACCTCCTATTTGGAAAGTAGTATCTACCAGTGAAAAGAAGAGTTCTTATTTCCCTATTGGGTAACAAGCAAAGTTTTATATATCTATAGCTACCGAGATGGATATATGTAATATGTTTATATCTATGAATCTTGTCTATGAATATATGTATATATATATATATGCACATCTAATAAGTATGAGGGAACTAATATTTCTACTCCAAGTTGGCATAATCTCATCAAATTCCAACTAGACTTTTTATTTTTGAAGACTTATTTAATTCCATTTGTTGTTGTTGTTATTATTATTATTATTTAATTTGACTGGAGAGAGGGAAAGGGAAAACGAAAAAGCAAACCACCAGGTCTGGGACTTGAACCTCAGTCAGCCGCGTGGGAATCCAGCACCTTCAACCACCATACCACCTGCTGATCCCTCAACTAGACTTTTAAAAATCGAAGATACATATCAACTTCTAAAATATCCTGGACACTCATCTTAGCAACCACTGCTTCTTAAAAGTTCTGTAAAGGAAGTCTTGTACAGCAACGTGCTTGGAGAGGAGGATGCCTGTCTCTGGCACACTTCACTGTATTTGGCTGCCTCTGCCAGGGCTGAATTCTTTACAGACATTGCCTTCGCTCCTATGGAAGCTGCTAAGGTTGGAATTCAAACACATCAAGGGATGCAGCTCCTAAAATGTTTAAGGAAGAAGGCTTAAATGCATTCTGCAAAGGGGTTGCTCCTCTTTGGATGGCATGAATTCCATACACCATGATGAAGTTTGCCTGCTTTAGACGTACTGTTCAAGCATTGTACAAGTTTGTGGTTCCAAGCCCAGAAGTGAAGGTACAAAGGCAGAACAGCAGTTAGCTGGGAGTCTTCTGTGCAATTGTTTCTCACCCTGCTGGTCCTGTGGTATCCATATCAAATAAAGAGAAAGGTAGCAGTGCTCCCCAGGTCCTCCAGAGACTTGGATTTAGAGGTGTATGGAAGGGACTCTGCCTGTTTCATCATGATTGGTACTCTGACTGCACACCAGTGGCGCATCTATGACTCCATGAAGGTCTGCTTCAGGCTCCCTTGTTCTCCTCCACCTGAGATGCCAGAGTCTCTGAAGAAGAAGCTTGGGTTAACTTGATTAAGTAGATATATCAAAGCAAATGTGGACTGAATCTGCTTGTTGATCAGTGATGAAAAGTGCAAAAGGAATTTCTATATATTTGACAACATAGGACATTGTCTATTCCTGATATAGTAACTGTAGTACTTTTGCTTTAGGCAAGAGTTTCAAATTTACTGTTAAAATAAACCTATCTGTTCATGGTGGGGGTGGGGAATTCTATAGAGGGATACTCCCTAATTTACTATGAAGGCAGAACCAACCACTCAGGGGACCAAACTAACTCAGATCTATTCATCTAATATAATAATAAATGCTACCTTATTTTCATTCTAAAAGATAAGTTTAAAAACAAAGCATTTACCATTGGGCTTGAAAGATGAGTTTTATAGATGCACAATTAGAACTCCTATTTTTGAATCTGTTCAACAGTGGCTAGTTTCTCAGAAGAGTCAGCATTCCTAGGATGGGCAATTATTTTGCAAAGTTACTTTAGTTATATAACGATGAACTCAGAAGACATACAAATTTGCATTCAAAGCTTCTAGGCCTTCAAGGCAGCATTTATTTGTGTGTGTCGTGATTGAGATGTGTATGTGTCTGTGTATCTATGTAGCACGCACGGTTGTAAAGTGGTAATCTTGGTATTCTTTTTGTAGAACGTGAAGTCATCACTGAAAAGACAGTTTTTTCTTTTTTTTTTTTTTTGAGAGAGATTTTCGCTATAGGGCGCGTGCGCTCGCCAGACAGACAGAGAGAGACATAGAGACAGAAAGCGAGAAATCACCCCTCAGGGGGGATGGTCACGCCGCAATCCCTTCTCCTCCATTCTCCTCTCGGGATCTTGGGCACGCACGCACACGCGCCCGGCGTGAGTTTTAAGCCACCGGGTCCGGGACGCGAACCGCGGTCGACTATGTGGGAGTCCAGCGACATAGCCATTACGCTAACTGCTGGTTCCCTGAAAAGACAGTTTTGAACCCTGCGACCTCAAATTTTACCAATCCAGAATTTTTTATTAATCTGTCTAAAGTTTGCTCTTTGGGGGGAGAGAAAATAGTAAATCATTTAAAATTTCATGTGAGATAAAATGATCCAAGGTAGATATTGACATACTTCCTATTTTGCACTCATAAATGCTTATTCATCCATCACCTGCCAGCCCTTTGAAACTGATGACAGTGTGCTTAAGACTTGTGAGCAGCTGAGCGTAGAAAATATTCCCATTCAATAGGATTATTGTTGCTATATGACAGTTAACACTAATAGAATAAAAATTTTCTGATTGCTTCATTCTTTAACCACATTTTTTGTAAATAGTTTCCATTTCTTCCATGTTACATCAGATTACATTAATTTATAAGTGAAATAGGGCAGAATAAAGAATTCCTTTATGAAAGTCCAAATTTCTTTAACTGGTATTTTCCCCCCTACATGGAATGTTTTTGGTTTTAAAAATAGGAGTACAGATTCCTTCGATTGCTGCCTTAACTCTACAGTAATTGTGTACAATCTGTTTTGTTTTGAGGACTATACTTACTTAGCTAGTTTTCTGCTTTTCGTTTTTATATTGTGTTCCAATTTTTGTTCTTGTCATACCTGACAAACATTCAAATACCCTTAAACAATTAAGTTCATCTTAATAAGGTCTTATTAATGAAGTTTTAGTTTATATTCCTATCTTCAGATACATTTATGTTAACACACAAATGAGTGTGTGTGCATGTGTGTGTGGTTTGTATGATATAATTAATATGCAGAAAAATATCTGTATTTTAGTGTCAATTTGTAGAATGAAGGTGCTGATGAACAAAGTGTTACCAGTTT